CCCCCCTATGATGACAACCGTAGCAAGAGGAGGAGGAGGAGGAGGAGGAGGAGGAGGAGGAGGAGGAGGAGGAGTCGTCTTGGCACTTAGTACGAACTATCAGCAGCAGCGGCCGTGTGACCGAGTGCCAGTGGCGATGGTAATTGAACGAGTATTGTCAGACCTGATCAGAGCAGCGAAACTTGTTTGCACTTTGGCCTGTTAGTTAGCGACCAACTTGCCACGAAAACACGGTGCAATAGTCAGATTTTGATAAAACCCATATCTGAGAACTGGGCCATCAAGGGCAGCCCCTGCCTCCCGTGACAAAGTGCGGACCCACAGCGACAGACGCTCGAACCATGCCAGTGTGCCCGCCTGCCATCAAGGAAACGTGAAGGGCTTGAACCGTTGTGGCAGGTGGTCGCTCAGCTTCACTAGACCCAAGAGTAAGCTAGGAATAAAAAGGGTGCCCTTTTTGGTTTAAAGGGGGTTATAAGGGAACCTAAACCGTAAAAAAGGGAACAAGGGCCTACTCTAGGTCCTAGTTCAAGCAAAGCCAAGACATTAAAATCCCAACTTCCGATCGACTCAGAGATCCTTCCAACAGGGTCCGAAATACAGACCTACACAGGGGTTTTTGAGGATTTAGGGATAGGGTTTAAGATTTAGGGTTTAGGGTTTGGGGATAGGGATTGGGGTTTTTAAGGCTTAGGGAACCTTAAACTAAACCCTGAACAGCCAACTGCCTTCTGGAGGGGTCAGGTCAGTGGCAAAGACGGCGCCCTCCAGATTCAGATGATACCTTCCCAGAGAGCCGCAATTAGCGCCCCAAAACAGCACATAAGCAAACAACAGGGATATCCCACAAAGACCCCCTTAGAAAGAAACCCAATATCCGTGCAACAGGCCTATGCTTGTCCTTTTTCAACTCAATTCCCCTAAATTAACGTATACTTTAAATCCTGGCATGAGGCCCTTTATAACTTCAGATACTTAAACTGCTTGATTAAGGCATCTGCCTTTTATCACCACGGTAAGCCCGTTGGCAAAGCTCGGCAAAGCTCCGACTCAAGGGCTGTGGGGTCCTGTAAATCTCTAGAAACCTAAATACAATTCCTTACTTAGAAAAGCCTACAAAGCCATCGTGAAGTCTAAATTCAAGGATCTTGGATACCTTGGCATCCCCCTTTTGCCGGCCCTCCTTTTGATGACGCGAAACAGCGGTTTCCGGTATCCCTCGCTCCCTGAAGGCCCTGAACCCCAATACAATATCCTTCAATGGGGCTCAGGGTTTAAGATGCACGGTTTAAGGGCTTCGGGCTTATAGGAGTTAGCGCTTAGGGTACCGGGATTAGAATCAAGCCTTGCTAAGGCTTGGCAGTCAGAAGTGACAATGGGACACCCCGCCCTTCGAACCTGAACTGTCAAGTCTTAGTTCTGCCTTCTTGAGCCTTTAGGGTTCAGTCTTTGTCTCAACATCGGAAATCCCAAACAATAAACTGTATTCTTGAAGGCAGGCTCTGCTGATCAGCTGGGAAACAGCAAAACATACCCAAACTGGCGTAAACTCTAAACGATAGCCCTATGCCCTAACCAGAGGGCCTTGACTTGCTTCAATCCTACATATCAAAGGGGTAAAGGAGGGACCCTTAATGGGGACCCCTACCCAATAATGGGGCTATACAATGGGTATATAATAGCTATATGAAGGGTATATACCTAGGGGACCTTACTAAGGGTCCCTCCTTTTACCCTTGGAACATAAGCCCTAAAGCAGGGCTTGCAGGTTTCGGAACTTCCCCAAAACCGGTTTAGGATTGAGGGGTTTAGGGCTTAGGGATTTAGGGGTTCAGGGTTTAGGGCTTAGGGGTTTAGGGTTTCGGGGTTTAGGGTTTAGGGTTTAGGCTATTAGTATTGGTTGTGCTTCGAGGCACTATTCGAGCTGAAAAGCCCCCTATATCGAGCCCGACTGAAACCTCGCAAAGCCCAAAGACCGTCTACGACACCTAAACACATGTGAAACAACACCCGTTGTAATGATTGCGGCCCCTGTTGGCTTTCTCGCCGAAAAGTCAGCCCCAGGTGCTTCTGAAACCGACTGTTTCTGCGTCCCGAGGTATCTGCTTTCGTCAGGGGCTAGTGCTCAAGGGTCTGAGATTATAGGAGTTAGGATGAAGGGAACCCTTGAGGATACTATACCGGGGGGTTTTGGGGCCCATTATACTTTCGTTGTAATAAGGAACCCCTAAAATAGTATAGTGAAGAAATCCCTGTAGTGTGAAGTGAAAGCCCTTGTGTGTAGTCAGGACTGAAGTGCGAACCATGTAAAGAAGGTTGTGGAGCAGCCTGGTTCATATGCGCTTGCGTTGATCTGTGCTCAAGCGGACATGGCTCGTGAAGAGCAAAGCACAGGTGCATTTGCCATGATCGGCAGAAGCACAGCATGTCAGGCACAGCAGAGCGACAAGCATTCATGCCGTTGTGTGTGAAAAATTCGGAGGGTCGTGCGAGGGTTCATGGTCAAGAGCTTTGGGTTTAACACCCCCTGGAAGCCTTTTTGAACCACGTTCTTGAGAAGGAGAAGATCACCCTCGACCCCTGTGCAGCGTTCAAATATTCCACAGGTTATGAGTTCCCAAGCTCGAGATGCGCAAGTACCAGTTCTGGAAGGAGAGGCTTTGGGCCCAGCATATGGAGCTGTGCAAGAGGAGCCCCTTCGGATGAGGCCAGAGCTGCCAAACGGAATTCCTCCAGGGCTGAATGGGCCAAGGAGGGCAGAAGATCCTTCAAGGACGGCTATGAACAGTGCATCCCCAGATGTTGGAGAGCCTCGAGCGGGACATGGGACCCGCGCGGAGGCTGCAGCTGGAGGTGAGATGAGGCTGACAGAGCAGCCGTTTTTGTCTCCGGAGTCCACTCAGGGGACGATGATCACTGCCGGCCATGGAAGGCCTCCGGGATTAGGCACCCCGGAACCGGAATTGTCGCGCGACGCTACAAGAACGCTGGATGTGGAGGTTATGTATGGTGCGGCTGGAGAGCAGGGAACAGCGGTCAGATGGGTCGCTCGGTTGACCGACTTTCTGAGGACAACGGCTACGGGAGCGGGTGGTTTGCAAGATAGGGTGCTAGAAGGGTTAGGGCTAACAGGAACCCAAGGATCTCCCTCACCTCAACAAACACTGAGAGCCCCGCAGCAAGCGCCTCAGCAACAAGTTCCACTGCAGCAGCTTATGCCGCAAGCACAGCAGCAGCATCCACGCACGCCCCAGCGTCCTTCATCCCCTACTACAAGGCGACAGCTAATCCAGGCGTTGAGCTTCTCGCCACCGGAGGAGCTGCCGGGTCCTTCAAGGATGGCGAGGCCGCAAGGAACCCCAGGATTGTTTAGCGCTGAGCAGCTTCAGAGACTGAGGGCTTTGGAAGTGGAAGCTCCGACTCTTTATGGCCAGCCGGACAACGTGGGTTCGGCGTCTACGGCGTCTTCAGCAGTGCAAGCCGAAGTTCAACGTCAGCTACAAGAGTTCATGAACCAGCACAGAAGTGAAACGGCGAGCTTGCAGCAACAAGTAGAGCAACTTCGAAGGGAGAGAGGGGACCTGCAGAGGCTTGCGGAGCAGGCGGCGCTGCAGTCTCAACAGGCTCTACTTGGAGATGCACGGCTACCACATGGTGATCGGGCCTTGCAGTCTCAACAACTGCTACATGGAGACGCACGGCTACCGCATGGTGATCGGGCCTTGCAGTCTCAACAAGTGCTACCAGGAGATGCGCGGCTACCACATGGCGATCGGGCCTTGCAGTCTCAGCAGCTACATGGAGATGCGCGGCTACCACATGGCGATCGGGCCTTGCAGTCTCAGCAGCTACATGGAGATGCGCGGCTACCACATGGTGATCGGGTCTCGCAGTCTCAGCAGCTACATGGAGATGCGCGGCTACCACATGGTGATCGGGTCTCGCAGTCTCAGCAGCTACCAGGAGATGCGCGGCTACCACATGGTGATCGGGTCTCGCAGTCTCAGCAGCTACCAGGAGATGCGCGGCTATCACATGGTGATCGGGTCTCGCAGTCTCAGCAGCTACCACAAGAAGATCGTTCTGAGGACCAGCAGTTGCCAGGTCGCAGTCGAGATGCAGGTGGCGAACGGGAGTCAGGGCGTCATGAAGAAGATGCGTCGTCCAAGGAGGCAAGTCGTTCAAGAAGTCCAGCACCGGATGCAGCTCAGCCAACACCGATGGAGTTGCTTGGGGTGATCGCCACTGGGATGCGACAGCTTCAAGAAGTTCAGCTGAAGCAAATGGAGCGAAAGGATGGGCCAGAGGTGGTGAAGCCTGGAATTTCATCACTACCGTCACTCGAGCCCCCCGGAAGAGACACGAGCCCGGTAGACATCCAGGATTGGCTGGAGGAAGTGGGGTCGATCATGGGAGATCTCTCCGACACGAGCCATGAGTGGTGGTCAGGCGTGCGGGAAGTTGCAGACGGTCACTACAAACGGTGGGTCACGGCGACTCCAATGGAAAAGCTGACTTTGGCGCTTCCGAAAGATGCCAAGCTGGAGCATGGGAAGTATGGCCGGGTCAACGCCAGGGCCGCGGGGATGATTTTGGGGGCTCTTCCCCCAGAAGTCAAGAGCGAGATGGTGACGAAAAAGGTTACAGGATCATCGCTGTCTCTGGTGTTCAAGTTGCTCACCACCTACAGGCCTGGGGGCGAGCAGGAGAAAACGCTGCTTTTGGAGCAGTTGACGACTCCAGAGGGGGCCTCTACCCCCGAAGCAGCTGTGCAAGCACTGAGGAAGTGGGGTAGGTGGTTCACCAGGGCAAAGGACTTGACGGTGACCGTGCCAGACCCAGTGCTCATGGTGAAGGGCTTGGCGCTAATCGTGGCCCCAGTCTTGGTAAAGAACCAGGACGTGTGGCTGAGAACCACTATGATGCGAAACCGGTTGCAGCTCGACAGTAATCCAACTGAACAAACCACGTTGGATTTTCACAAGCACTTGCAGGCTGAAATGGAGCTGTTGAGCACAGCCCCTTCCTCTTCCTCGACTCGGACAGCTCCGAGAATCAAGAGCGCGACCACCTCAGAGGCGACCTCTACTACAACACCGCCGCAGGGGCAGAGGGGACGGCCAGAGAAAAAGGAGAGGTTGTGCAAGTGGTTTGCGAAGTCGGATGAAGGCTGCCGTCGAGGAGCAGAGTGCCAGTTTCAGCACGATTGGGGAACCACACCGAAGACTGGGAGATGCCTTACGTGTTCGGCGGTTGGTCACCAACGAAAGGATTGCCCGACTAAGAAGGCTGGAGACACGGCCCAGCAGTCTCCAACAGCAGGCTCTGCAAAGGGCAAGGGGAAAGGAGAAAAGGGCTCAGGCGCGTCGTCGACTTCATCAACTACTCCTACGCCGCCAGCAACAAGGTCGTTAGCTACGGGAAGCCCGCCGAAGGAAACGCCGCAGCCCGGCCCGGAACCGTCACCGGCAGGAAGCCCATCAAGCACCTCGAAGGATCCCCCGGGTGACCTTCAGCAGATCCTGACAGACGCCCATCAGATGCTGAAGACGATGATGGCGACTACGACTCCGGCGACTACCTCCACTACGACCGGGGCACCGACGTATGAGTCGATTCAGCGCCAGCTTGACGAGATGAAGCTGAAGGCGTTGAAGGTGTGTGCCCCGAGAGCAGATGAAGAAGAACGGCGGGGAGCTCTCTTGGATTCTGGAGCAACCCACGTGTTGAGACCCGCCAAAGACGAGCACGAGCACCTCACGAGCAAGGAGGTGCCGGTGGTTTTGGCGGGAGATGAACAACGTCTTCTACGACAAACCCCCGCAGGGAGCATCATCCTCAACCCGAGCCAAGGAGAGGAAGCACAAACGATAATACCCCTGGGGAAACTCGTTGAGTCTCTTGGCTGTGTTTTGAGGTGGACCCGCGGAGGACTATTGTTGAAGCACCCAAGGTACGGGACTATCCGTACGAGGATTCGCGCTGGTTGCCCGGAGATTGTGGACTCAGTGCAGGCTGCCATGTTGATCTCCGAGCTAGAGTCGCGGAAGCTTGATGAGCTACGACAGAAAACTGCAGACCTTCAGGACCGCCTCAACGCGATCAAGATGATGGAGGTGAGGAATGAGGACTGGAGGCATGATTTGGCTGCCTATGCTCAGGAGGGGTGTGTTGTGGATGGTTTGCAGGCCCTCTACAAGTCCCCGATCTTCAAGAACCTCCCCGAGGATGTTCTGATGGGCATGGTCCCGCACGTGCAAGGAGACGACAAAGAAGGTTGGGAGTACCTGAAGGCCCTTCCGGTGTCAAGGAGGATTCGAAAGAAGCTTTTGCGGTCAAGGGCGTGGGTGCTCAACCTCTACGGGGGCCGGAACCTGAAACAGGACCCGGTGCAGTCTGTGAATGGGCAGATAAACCCGGATACGAACTCCGAGGTGGTGGTCGTGAACGTCGAGATCCTCTTGGACGGTGGTTGGAGCGTGCGGGGCAAGGCCTACAAGGCGCTGATGTGGGCGGCAATGACCTCTCGGATCAAGGCTGTGGTGGGAACCCCGCCAGTGAAGACGTTTGAGTCTCGACCTTATGTGGACCCCAAGGGGCCAAAGCCTTGGAGAACAGTGGAAGAGCCCTACGGAGTTCCGGGGCTAAACCCTACGGAGGCCTTCTATGTGAACAAGGAGACCTCTTTGGTTGCCAGACAGCTTCTTCTCTACCTGGTGGCGCATGCGTGTTCAAAAGGGAAGCAAGTTGGTTGGATGATGAGTGCTCCTGGAGATCCAACCGAGGTGGCGGAACTCTGTGAGGGAGTGAGCCTTTGGCAGACACCAATGGTCAAGGAGTTTTTGGAGGTGGTTGGACCGTTGGGAGCGTCCATGACTACGGTTGGAGTGGCAGGAGATGAAGAAAGAAAAGGCCCGGCGCTCACGGTTAGTAGCAACCTTGGCGTGGGCGAGTTGATGAAGCCCGGCGAGGAGGCTGCTACTTCGTCCTTCGCGACTTGGGGCGAGGCAATGGCGAGAACGAGGAGATCGGTGGCTACGGCATTGAGAACCTCCGGGGTGGCATCTACAATGGTGTGGGAGCCGCAAGGAGAACTGCGGAAGCTCTCGGCGGAACAAGGGTGGAAGCTGCATGTGCAACGAGACCATGTACCGTTTCGCAAGGATTGTGAGTATTGCGTGATGATGATGGGGTCCGGAAAGCAACACAGGCGCACGCGGCAGAAAAGCGCTTACGTCCTGAGCGTTGATGTCGGTGGCCCCATGAGGATCAGGAGCAAAGACAGTCACGGGAGAGGGTATCGCTATTTCCTTGCAGCATCCTATTCCAAGCCAAGGTTTCCAGATCAAGAGCCGCCTCCAGAGCCCGACCCCAGCGACTTGGCATCGCTGGAGTACGACTTCACCGACTTGGAGCTTGAGGGGGTGATAGGCGAGCCGTTGGACGAGGAGGGGCAACGAGCGTTGCTCGAATCGGAGCTGGCAGACATCGAGCTCTCGGAAGCCGAGGCGGATGAGCAGCTAGCGCCGGAGATCAGAGCGATGAAGGCAGCGGACAAGTTGTGGGACGATGATGAGTTAGCAGCCGAAGAGCAAGCAAAGGTAGCGGCTGAAGAAGAGCCGCTGGAAGGGAACCATGAGATACCGATGGATCATATCTACTTCATGAAGCCCCTCAAAACGAAGACCGGAAAGGAAGTCATGAGAGCGATCCAAGAAGTGGTTCTACAGCTACGACAAGAAAATCTGCCAGTACTCCGTATTCACTCAGACCGCGCCCATGAAATGAGGTCCCCGGCGTTGAGAGCTTGGACGCTAGACAACAATATCTGGCTCACCCGAACTGAAGGCCAAGCACCGCAAAGCAATGGCTCGGCAGAAAGGGCAGTGCGCTTCTTAAAGGGGCGAGCACGGATGTTGTTGAAGGCGGCGGGGTTGGGAACGGAGCACTGGGCTACAGCAATGGAAGCAGCAGCTCATCGACAACGAGAGGAAAGACTTCGACCAGAAGATCCGCAAGTTCCTTGTCCCTATGGAACCCGTGTGGCTATCAAGAAGAAGCGGTACGGGGATGGAGGACGACATGATCTACTACCTCATTGGACAAAGGGAACCTACATGGGACCGGTGTGGGATGTCAATGGAGGGTCGGTGATTTTGGAAGATGAAAGCAACCGGTTCACAGTGACGACCCACCTTCGAGCCCGGTTACATGATCCTGGAACCCTGAAGAATGAGGAGGAGGTTGAAGTGCTCCCCTTGAGGCCCGCAAGGAGACTGCGTGGGAAAGGGCCCATAGGGCCCGACGGCGTTGCGGTGCGAAGCCTGGAAGGGGAAGATCGTGGCAGAGCTCGAGCGGACTTGGTGGAGGAGATCATTGCCCTCATGGCAAAGGACCCCGTGCACAAAGTGAAGAGACCCCAGTTGGCCAACAGTGAGGCAGAGCGCGAGGGCACGAGCTATTCCACCGTTGGTGCCTACAACTTTGGGGGGAAGTTCGGGGTTACGAAGTACACCGAGGAAGCCCAGGAGCTCACGGCAAAGGTCACCCAGCTGCTCAGGCATGATTTCCCAGGTGAAGTTTTCACTTCGGCTACCATAGTCAAGAACGCGGCAATGCCCACCCATAAGGACTCCTTCAACGAGCGGCACTCCTACAACCTGATTTCCCCGTTGAAGGTGACGAAGGGCGCAGGTGTATGGGAGGAGATGCAAGCTGGAGACGTGTTCAAGGGGAAGTACCACTCCATGGATGTCAACGGCAAGGAAGTACCCGGCCAAATTCATCCCTTGACCGGACCAGTGCGAGTGAACCCTCGAAGGTGGCACAGCCCAGTTCAGGGAACTGAAGGCCCTCGCCTTCTGATTGCGGGACACACTATCAACTCGTGGAGGAAGCTCACAAGCGATATGCGTGAAGCGCTCTTCGAGAATGGGTTCGTGCTCCCGGATGAGGAACACTTCGAGGCACAGCTCAAGGCCTTGAAAGAGCAGGCGGAGGTGATGAAGGACGTCGAGTACGAGGCCAATGAAGAAGACTTCGTCATGACTGGTGAGTCAAGAGACTCGGTGGTGGAGGTTGACGAAGACATCAAGAGGTGTGCAAAGGCCGCAGCCGAGAACCTTTATACCCGGGGCATCGAGAAGATTTTGGCCGAGCTGGATGGCGATCTCCGGGTGGTGCACACCGTCCACCCCAGTGAAGTCGAAGGAGCCATCGAGGAGTGGATCCCTGCTCTGAAGGCAGAGATGGAGACCCTTGAGGGCATCGGGGCAGTGAGAAGGCTGCGTGGACAGGCTGCCAAGGAATACATGGCCCAGCAAGGAGCTGTTATAGTTCCTGGAAAAGCCGTCTACACTGTGAAGCCTCCTAGCAAGGAGGGAACAAGATACCGAAGAAAAGCCCGCATTGTGTCGTGCGGAAACTTCCAGCCCAAGTCCGACAACGAGATCAACTACTCCGGAGGGGCGGTTGCAGAGGCGGTCAGGCTTGGCATTGCGGAGGCCTCGCGTAACAGATGGAGTGCGTGCACTGGGGATGTGGTCAGTGCCTTTCTAAGGGCACCTGTTCCCGCGGGAACAAAGCTGGCGCTGCGACCGCCGGCAGCGTTGGTCAAGGCTGGCTTAGCAGAACCCGACGAGATTTGGGTAGTGCAAACTGCCCTCTACGGCTTCAGATCCTCGCCACGCTGGTGGAGCACCCATAGAACTCAGAAGATGCGCGAGGCCAAGACCAAGGCTGGCCTCACGTTTGTTCAAGGGCAAGCCGATGCGGATGTATGGCAAATCAAGGGCCCTGATCATAAAACCACGGTGGGGCTGATGATCGTCTACGTGGACGACTTCTTGATCCTGGGACCAAGGTGGGTTACTGATGAAGCCTATGAGTGGATGGCTTCGACGTGGGAGGTGACTCCATGCCAATATGCTACGCCGACCTCTTCTGTTAGATTCTTGGGAATGGAAATCAAGCAGGAGGAAGACAGCAAAGGCGAGATCACCGGCTACTCCCTGGATCAGGAGGGGTATATCGAGGAGATTTTGCGTCAACATGGAGTGGGGCCTAACGAGAAGTCCTTGCTACCGGCAGCGAAGGAGTGGATGTCTCTGGACCCCACCGGGTTTCCCACCACCTACAGTCAGGATCAGCTGAGGGCGGCTCAGTCGATCACGGGAGAGCTGGCATGGCTTGCGCAACGATGCAGGCCAGACCTGTCCTACACGGTGAGTGCGATGGGAAGCCTCACCACAAAAGACCCCGAGAGGGTAACGACCATAGGTCGAAAGGCCCTCGCCTACCTCAACGCGACCAAGCAGTGGAAGCTGATGTTCAATGCTGGAGGGCGCCCGGAGCTGGTGACCTACACGGACAGCAGCTACTCACCCGACGGTGAACGAAGCCATGGAGGAGCGGTAGTGTTTTGGGCTGGTTCCCCGGTGGCGTGGAAGAGCAGCCGACAGTCGCTGGTCACCACCAGCAGTGCCGAGACCGAGCTGCTAGCGGCCTCCGAGGGCGCTACCCTCACCTACTCGATTGATGCCATGCTTTCGGATGTGGGTGTGTTTCCGTCGTCAAGAGAAATAAGAGTCGACAACTCAGCGGCCATCACGCTGGCCTCTGAAGAAGGAGGGAGTTGGCGCACGAGGCACTTGAAAGTCAGGGCAGCAGCGCTCAGGCAAAGGATTCAGGAGGGCTGGGCAAACATTGCCTATTGTCCAGGCGAGTGGCAGCTTGCAGATGGGCTCACAAAAATCTTAGCCTCGAAGCGCATGGATATGCTGATGCAGAAGTGGGGACTCGGCAACAAGGATGATCTACCACGAGGAGAAGACGCTAACCCGGGAGTACGGCGTCTACAAGCAGAAGCAGAAAGAACTGAAGCCGCAGCGGAACCGCAGCAACAGGCAGCCACAAGCACACAGCAGCCGCAACCAGCAGCATTACAGCATATCAACAACACCACCACCACAGCCCACGGGAAGGATCTGGGTTGCTGTATGGGTCTATTGGTGTTAGCTCAGTGGTTTGTAAGCGTTCAAGGTCATAGAGTTCCAGAAAACGACCCTCTTCCGGAGCCGTTGTCGCTGAATAGCCCCTGGGAGCTGTATGTGCTAGTCACAATGCTGGTGATTTGTGCTGTTGCAATCTGGGAGGGATGCAAGGGCGCTATGAGGAGCAGAAGTGACGTGGTGCGCCTAAGGAGCTTTGCAGGCGAGCATGATCGTCAACGGCTAACCAAGGTTGAGCTGAGGACATTGAGTGCTTTGCTGCAGAGAGATCCAGACTCTCTCACTACGGAAGAGAGACAGGATCTTATCCATTTGGCAGGCTTGTGCGGCTCAGATGTTTCCGAAGCTGTGGGGATGAATGTGACTTCTGCAGAACCTCGGCGAGCAAGGAAACCTGTTTTCGAGGCTACATGTTCAGCTGGGATTCGGCCACCGGATGAGGAGACGTATGGCGGGCCGATAGTTCCCGAAGCTGAGCCCACGAGATCTACGAGGAAAAGTTCAAAGATTTCAGCTCCAATGTCGAGCTGGGAAGACCCCGCATGGACCGAGAGGCCCCCGCTGGCTCGGCGTCCGGCGAGGTCTCCGGAGCCTCGCATGTGCGACGCGGCGATACAGTGCGAGCTTTTGGGAGATATTCCCAAAAAGGTGTACATGACGCCAAGGGGAACCTGCGTTCATGCCTCAAGGTCGTGCTCAACCTTGAATTGTTCGACACGGTTCCAAGAGCGCGACGTGTGTCAAAGGTGCATTCGAGGCCAGAGAGAGGAGACCGAGCACCGTGGCTCGGACTGGCTGAGATAAAGAAGGATGATGCGGGCCTTGCGGCCCCATCAAGGAGGGGTGAAGAAATCCCTGTAGTGTGAAGTGAAAGCCCTTGTGTGTAGTCAGGACTGAAGTGCGAACCATGTAAAGAAGGTTGTGGAGCAGCCTGGTTCATATGCGCTTGCGTTGATCTGTGCTCAAGCGGACATGGCTCGTGAAGAGCAAAGCACAGGTGCATTTGCCATGATCGGCAGAAGCACAGCATGTCAGGCACAGCAGAGCGACAAGCATTCATGCCGTTGTGTGTGAAAAATTCGGAGGGTCGTGCGAGGGTTCATGGTCAAGAGCTTTGGGTTTAACACCCCCTGGAAGCCTTTTTGAACCACGTTCTTGAGAAGGAGAAGATCACCCTCGACCCCTGTGCAGCGTTCAAATATTCCACATATAGGTAGTTATTTAGGCCCCTACATTAGACCCTCTCAATAAGGTCCCTTTTAAGAAGCCAGAGTAGGGTTACGGAAGCGTCCCCTTTAAGGGGCCTCCACAATACCACCTAGGAGATGAAGGTTTCAGGGATTGGGGGGTTTCGGTGCTCCTGGGCTTATGAGATCAGGGGAAAATCTAAGGGTTTAGGGACTGTGCTGCCCACATAGTAACCCGACAACTTCCTCATATTTAGCGAGGTTTCGAAGCAGTATGGACCAGAGTATGTGGTTTAGGGCTTCCTGGTTTAGCAGTTGCTGGTTTGCAGGGGGCGAATCCACTAGATGCGTGCTGCACATCTCCCGAAGGCTTTCGCCTACGTGCCCACCATGAACAGCTTTAGCTACAACTGGAAGTGCTTTCATGTCTGCAAGTAGCGTGACTACCTCCAAGGCAGCTCGTCGTGACGCTCTTGATTAATAGGTGCCAAAACCGAAACTAGACTGCATTGCTGAAGCAAGAGTATGATAAGATATCTGGGTATACACCTCCGCTGTAGATGCTGCATGGCAAAAATTGGGAGCAAGGATGAGCAAGGGCATAATTACCGGTGGCATTCCTTGCAGTATGCGGCCACGCTGCAACAGCAACTTACCCTCCACAGAGCCCGCCAAAATATACGCGCGGCCAGACTCATCGCTGTAGAGAACATCGAGAAGATTACCTCTCTTTTAGGTTTCGGGTCCATGGGCTTACATAATTGGGAGCCCTCAGGGATAGTCGTATGGAATGTGTAGAGCTACTAGTTATGCATGCTCCTATGTTAAGGCTTCATGGTCTATCACCATCTAAGTACTGAATGTACTCCTGAGTTGCAAGTCGTCAGGATAGGGATAGCAGCATCTGGGGAGCAGCCAGCCACATCCCTTCAGCTAAGCTCCAAATGCCAGATCATAAACTTCGAACTCAAAAACTGTCGAATGTGATGTTCAAGCCTCTCCTTCCGTCGCTCCTTTCCCTTGTACCTTCTCTCTCCCCAGAACTCCCAAACAAAGATCTTAGACTCTAAACCCTTGAACAAAAACTGACCTCCGAAAACCTAAGCCCTAGACAAACTAAACCTCCTAAATTCAGCTGCAGTGACCATCGGAATCTCCGACCTACCCAGGCAAGGCACCAAGGTAGTGAGGGCTTTTTTGATTCAAGGGTTTAGAGCTTAGGAGTCTATTGGTTCAAGGTTTAGGTGCTGCTTTAAGGGGTTTTAAGGGTTACCGGTTCGTTTAGGAGTTTAGGAGTTGAGGGCTTGCGGATTAGCTTCTACAGTTCAAACGGCTCCAAGCTTGTGGTAGGGAAGTTCGGGGGGAAGCAGGGATTCACAGGGATTCCAAAAACGCAAGCATTTTGAAGGCTACCTACTCCACTACCACTTAAGGGCTGAGTACCCTGGCCCAAAACCAAGGTTAACATTTCAAGTCATGGTAGAATTAAAACGGGTGGTTGTCAATATTAGGGCCCCTTTTGCGGCACCCTAGATATGAGGTGCCCTACTACATTATGGACCCAAAAAGGTTACCATAATTTTGACAATCATCCATGTAAACCCAAGAGGTTAAAGGTTAGCTACTCAGCCAGAGACTCCAATATCACTTATGTAAGGAATGTTCCTTAAATCATATTAAGGATCCTACTATAATTTATGGTATATTCCTTAATTAAGAGATATTGGAGTCTCTGGGCAGCCCCTAGGCATGATGGCGATGAAGATGGTGATAGCCACGATGACGGCGAGGAGGGTAGTACTGCCATTGCAACGATGGTAAGTCACCCTAAGGGTCGGGTTTTTTTAGAGGGGTCTGTACGGGGTTTAGGGTTAGGGGATAGAGGCAAAGCGATCCAGAATCAAGGGTAAGTCGCCCAAAGGGTAGGGTGACAGAAGTGATGTTGACGCTTGCTGTGCGAACGGTTACAATTACGCAATAACACCAACACCGACAACTACCAATGGCATGCACCACCATGACAATGAGAACGGTGCTGAGTAGAAGGGTAAAAACTGGAAATGGCCGGAGTAATAACATCAGTGGTCCGAAACCCCGGTGACATGAGCTGAAAAAGCCGCGCCTGTAACCGGCTTGCTTGTTCGTTTCGGGAAGGTTTGTTGCAGATTTAGCATGCGGCTCTTTCTCCAGAGGCTTTGTGACACTTGAAGGCTCATGCTCAGGGCACGAGGTTTGCCATCAGCTTTGGTACTCACAGGGAAGGCTTTTCTCTAGAACAAGGCGATGAGATCAGGCACCTTGGTGGTGGTACTCAGTACTCCTTGTTATCATGGGGAGCTTGCGCCTCTAATGTGCACATGTGGTGCTCGTGTCTTCCGGTTCTGAATTTGATCTTCTCGGACCTCTATGATTCTAGGAAAGGCCTTCCTAAATGTCATGACCACTATCGTAATGCCTTCTCATCACGGGCCCCCGTCAACCCGGACCGTACACCCCTCATCCACTATCAAAACCACTGAACCCCAGAGCCCTCCCTTCCAAAGTTCGCATCAATACATCCCAGCCCCTAAATCCTAAACCCTCAACCCCTAACTAAACCCCTAACCCCTGACCCCTAAACCCTAAACCCCAAATCCTGGCAAAACAACCAGTGGTTTTGGGGGGTTCCCTTGGTTCTTCAGCCCCTTGTTCAATAGGGGTTATCAACATCCCTGGCTCTTCAGCTCCTCCAATACTGTTGATGATATAAATCCTGCATTACCCATAATAAGGAATATACCATAATTCCCATAGTTTAGGGTCCTTAAGGTAATGCAGGATTTATATCATCAACAGTATCAATGCTTAGACAACCCGTGGCCTGAAGTCGGGAATCCGTCCGCAGACCCTGGCCGTGAGGGTCTCAGGCTCTCATCCGTTTGAAATGGGTAGCTTGTCGAAATTAGGGTCCCTTTCTGGGGTACCTTGAATATTAGGTGCCGTACATTTTTAAGGGCCCCAAAACAAAGTTTTGACAACCACCCAAATGGCTTCAGGCTCAGGGTGTGGCATCTTAGGCTTCGGGTTCTAGAGCCTATGATTTAAGGTCTAGTCTAATGTCCTAAACAATTAGAACAGGGTTTTGGGACCCATTACAACAATAATTGCAACGAGGAACCCCCAAACTAGTATAGGTAATAGTTTGGGCCCCTATAGTAGGGGCTTCGGGTATCGGGGCCAGGGACCTTGGAACACTCAGGTCTTTTGGGCTCCGGGTCGGCAAATATAAAAACCCCAGAGACATCGAGAAACCCGCTAAGGAAGCCCATCCCAAAGTCCTAAGCTGCACCGAAACCTACCCCGCACCCTTTACCTTCACTAAACGGCACGTAATCCTACCCAAAGAGCACCCATAGCTCATCATCCGAGGTACGTAAAGCTAATCTTAAAGTATATCCTTTTATAACTACGAAACCTTCCAAAAACCCGAAAACCCTAACGCAAGTAATTTAATTGAAAAGCAACGGCGGCAACAGCACACTGTTGCCCTACTCCCCTATTCGGAAACGCTGAACAGGAACCCTTACAGGAACCCCTGAAGCCCCATTATGCCAGGAACCAAGTCGACTGCGCTGTGGGCTCGCGCCAAAAGGCTACCCCAGGCTGTAAAAACTGTTCAACTGGTCATCCCATGCTTGAGGGAGCAGTGACCTGGCTATAACTCCACGACCCTGAAGGCCCTAAATCCTAATGCACCATATCATACTACATTCCTGGGCCCCAGAAGCATGTAGAATAATAGCCTTTTATAGGGCTTAGGCCATTATTTTACCTACTTTTGAGGGTCTAGGTTATGGTAAAGTATGGTTTAGTATATTATCGTATACCTAAACCCTTTTGCATCCAGCCTGCAAAGCCTCTGCTAAACCCTGAACCCCTAAACCAACCCCTACATCCTCAACCCTAACAGGAACCCTCTATCTCAACCCTAAACCCTGAAAGCCCCTAAATAGTACCCTTAAGGGCCTTAAGGGGAACCCCTATAGTACCCTTAAAGGGAACCCTCCAGTACCCTTATAGGGAACCCTCTAAACCCTAAACCCTTTGTGCCACTGGGCTTACCCTAAATCCTAAACCCTGAACCCCCAAACCGTAACCCCTAAGCCCTAACCCTAAGCCCTAGCCCCTAAACCCTTCAAAGCCCCTACGTGGAGCCCTAAACGGCGATTCTGCCTCGAGGCGGCCGCAGCGCTCGCCAAAGCGGTGTTCGTTGAGACTCCAAAGCTGAAGTGCCTTCGCAAAGAGTGACATGATATAGTGTAAAATAACATATATATATATACACATATATATTTAATACTCATTATATATGATGTAAAGACGAACATCACTATTTTTCATATGTATGTGAAACCACATATACATATATATATATATATATCTCATACCATGTGACATAGTGTTCTTGGCAAAACCGTATACAAACATGGGAACACCAATAGTTTAGTATAGTGAGGGGTAGTGCTAGCAAAACACTAGATGGTGTTCAGGGTTTAGGGTAGAGGTATGGACTTGAGAGTTCAGGTTTTGGATTAAGGTTTAGGTATTGGGGGTTGGGTTTTGGGGTTAAGGGTCTGG